TAAAAGAAACACTACCCTTGTTATGTGGCATTTTGGAAGCCAAGCTTATATTTGGTTTGAATAGAACTAAGCTCTCCCAGTTGTGGCTTTGATAGAGGCCACAGTGTATTTTCACAAGTTAAAAAGCAAACTCCAGGAAGTTATGTTGAGAATCTAAAAATCCTCATAAAAAGCTACAGATTTCTATCCTGACAGCCACTGAACTAATTTAACAGGTGATAAAAACCCTAAGGACAAAGCATGTTCAAGCTATTTTTTACATAGTTTATTAATGGTGTATTCAATTTAACCTAGTTTTGGGGGATTTCCAGAAATTAAAAAAAAAAAAATAGGTCAGGTCTACAATGGCAAATTTCATCAGATAAAGCGCTGGCTTTAGATAGCTTACACAAAATTTTCTTGTCTGGATCTATCTTAACAATCTAAAACTTAGCAAGGAAAATCCTAAAAAGCCAAATCTGGGTTTTAGGAAATAAAGAGGTTTCTTTCACTGGCTTTGTTTTTGCAGTTGAAAGTCTTATTTTGCCAAAAAGCATTTCCAACAGGGAAAATTTTGGTTTCAATTATCATAGCTGAAATGCATGCACATCTGCTTCAGGAAACAGTGATGCCCAAAAGTTTCTATTCATGATGTTTAGGGATGGAGGAAGGATTAGGTGATTTGCCAGTGGGAATAGAAAAGGTGCTAGGCTGCACAACACTTGTCCTTCCTTGGGTCTTCCCAGCATATTATCCAGCATTGCAGAACTTAGCATTTAGGAAGTATTGACTTTCTACGTCATGTCTTCTCAGACTATACTATCAATCTGTTGTTCTGAATCAATGATAGGTAAGTGCTTTCTGCTCAGAAGCCTCCTGAGGCCAAGGGGCAGGTTCTCCTTTGAAACAACCAGCCAGGAAGAGCTATCCTATGAGGACAGGTCACATAAATTCCAAGCAGAGTTAAATACATGGTGCCCCTCTAAAATAGCAGCATCCCTATGCTGCTGATGGGGAAAATAACCATGATTTGAAGAAATATTAACTCCTCCTTTCATGATGCTTCCTCCAAAAGTTATGGTTCTCTGAAACTTTTGCAGATCTGCCAGTATGGGCCTAGAAATGTATTTGTGACAAGATGCATGTGTCATAAAATCATAAAATTTACAATTTTGATTATTTCAAGTATAAATGACATTAAGCACATTTGTATTTGTTGTACAATCATTACCACTATCCATTTCCAGAACTTTTTCATCTTTCCAAACTGAAACTCCATACACTAATATTAAACACTATCCATTCCTTCTTCCCTCTAACCCTTGGCAACCACTTTACTTTCTGTCTCTATGAATTTTGACTAATTATGTAAGTGGGAAATTCATTTTAATCCACTCACAAGGCTGATTTCCAGAATTGAAATAAAATACTAATAGCAAGGCCATTTTCAGTGTCTATCCGTTCTCCACACAACTGCACAGACTCAATCACTGTACATAGTAGCTAAGAGCCAGAGATCCTTTTTCTTTGCAAAATCACTTTCCTGAGACCAATCAAGCCACAATGATTCTCTCCTGGAGGGAGTTGGGGAAGATTACCATCAGAAGGTCCAGCGTAGAGCTGGAGAGCTCTGGATGCAGCAAGATTGAGTACACATTCACAGGTTCTTCTTAATATCTTGGCCTAAACAAAGGTGTATCCAGTTTGTGGTTCCAAACCACTAAGGCATCTAGATTAAGCAGATCTTGTTGAAACCCAAAAAGAAGGAGGAAATGTCAAGGCCTATTAGGTATCTTGTTTTAAGGAAATAGTTTAGATAAGCCAGATGATAGCCTGATAAAGCTTTCCCTAGTTTTCTCATGGGAATGGTCACTTATAACCGTATTGTCTCTTGAATGACAAATGTAGGAAAACTCTAAAATATGCCTTGGTTAGTATGCCAGCAGCAACTCACAGGATACAACATGGTAATAGATAGTCACCAATGACACTAGCAAGTACTAGAAAAATTTCCTAGGTGCTTTATACATTTCACTACTAGGTCTGTTACTCCAAAGCCTATACTTCTAATTAATAGTCTTTCAGGGTAGAAGTTATTTTCATACGCTCGTGGCAAAGAAAGAAAATTATTCATTAGAAATTTCTTGGCTGAAAATTTTTAATGCTTAAAAACAACCTCAGGGGCCAGGGATTTAGCTCAGTGGTTCCACCACCTGTCTCATAAGCGCAAGGACCCGAGTTCGATCCCAGGCACCAAAAAAAAAAAAAAAAAAACAACCCCAGTTAAGCTTTGGCAGGTTAAATATGAAACAAGCACCAGATTCAAGATCCCTCTGGTCCCTGGAGGTTTGACATGTGATCCCAGGCTAGTGATTTGGCTTCTCTGGTCCTCAACTTCCTGGAAACTTGTAAAACAAGGTTACTTTCCTCTGTTCTTCCCCTACCTCAAAGCATTTCATGAGGTCAGTCATCCATGCTGACATAAGGCTCCTTTCCAAGCATGAACCCATTGGCCAAAGGTTTCTCTCATCTCTCACCAATTTTCTTTTTTGTTAACAGAGTTTCCCATGAAAGTTATCATTAACAGGCAAATAACTGCCCAGCACCTGCTATTTGTAAATATTCAGGTACAAGGCACCATACTAGCCCTAGAGGACCTGTCTCCAAAATTGGACACTTGCAAGATATATGAAAGAAAAGCACAAAAAGATCTGGTAGACCTATATAGTATCCAACTCTGAGATACAAACTAGAGATATTAAGAAGATCAGTGGAGACGAGAAAAGCTGAGGTTTCCAAAACAAAGTTGAATTTTAAAAACATACATATATAGCTTCTGCAAAAGAGGAAGAGAAAAGCATCCACTCAAACATAATGTGGGAGCTAAGGATATGAAGGAGATGAAGTAATGTACAGAATAAGTGGTGATGAAAGAGACCAACAGAGCTCTTGGTGAGCCTGAGTAAGCAGTGGGAATGGAGATAGGAGCCAGATCTCAGAGGACTTGAGTGGCTGGCATATAAGCTTCACTTGGAGTAGGATCAAAAGGTAGTGAGCTGGATGACCTGGTGAACATTAGAAGTAAACAGTTTTGATTTCTTATCTACTCTCTGCCTCCAGTAGAAGAAAAGCAAAAGAATGGTGCAACCAGGTGTTCAAAAGACACACATGTCAGCTGTTTGAGCTGAGAGCACCAGAGTTCTTCTGAAAAACAACAGAGCTTTGGGGGTCAAGGGGTCATTACATTTCTGAACACAGAACTGGAAACATAGTACCCAAAAGGGCTCCATTAGCTGTTAGAGGTCTCCCAGCAAGCTTTCAGCCCCAATATTCCATGGATCAAACAAACAGCCTTGGTACACCTCCATTGCATCATCCTTGCCCTCCACTGGCTACTGAGAAAAGGAGAGTACACTGTCTACCTCTGCTCCAAGGCCTTTAGACGTTATACTGCCCAGGAGGCCACATGAAGCTTCAGTTACAAAGAATTCCCAGAAAGGAGCTGCACAGGCAGCACACTCTGTAAAGTCCCAGACTCTTCCTGTGGGTGTGATACGAAGAAGCACAGTCCCCAGGGCCTCTTCCAACAGTAAAACAGATGACATCCAACAATCATGCCGGTTCTAATAAGGTTTATATCGTTAATGACATCAGTCTGACCCATTAAGATGCAGGAGTCAAGACAACCAATAGAAAGCAAAGTGTTTACCAATGTTTTCTCTGGACAGTGGTGACTGAGTTGAGATGGTTCTCATTTAACCAGCCACTTACTGTCAAGCTTCCCCTAGGTGGTACACTGCCCTGGCCTGACCCCTCCCTGCAGTCTTCCCTCCTCAAGGAAAATTTTAAGTTTAGTCTCTATAAGCACAGACCCACAGAATGAAGAGCCTGGCGCTTGGGAGACTTCTAGTCCACAGATACAGGAATGACCCACCGCAGTACTGCACTGAGCACCTTCGCAATGGAAAGGTCATCATCTCAGATCATTTAAACATTTTAATGCATGTGACTACCAGAAAATAAACCCAGATTAGTTCCCACTAAACACAAGTACTTAAAAATCGCTCCTGCTGATTCTAATTTCTTAAGAAATCCCTGATGGAAGAAGTAAGAGTTCCTTCAGAGCACAAATCTTGTAGTATCACTCATAAACTTTTCAATAGAGATGAAACTCAGTTCAGTGGAAGTGTCATCTGACTTTGTTTCTCTCCCTCAACCCTGAACATGTGTGTATGGGGGCACGCACACACACTCCTGCACATGCACATACACACATTTTTAGAAAAGCCATCAGCCCAGCACGCCTCCTGAAGATTTGGGCAGTTCAGTATTAAAAAATGCAAGTGCTCTATGCCAGGCAAGCACTGCTATGACATCAATAACCCCCAACCAAACAAAAAAAATACACCTGGGGGAAAGAAGCCAGGAAAGAGAAACACCTCCTTAAAACAGCCTAAGGAAGGCAATCCTGAGTGAGCCTGTGCTGAAACTATTCCCCAACACCAGCCAGGAAGTCCCTTCTTTCGGTGTGCTCTACTACCCAACAAACCCAGACCTTCCTTTGTGGAAACCAGATCTCTGGAGCTTTGAGTCCTGGAAGAGTTGGGTTTGGAAAGGGGCTTCCCTGCTCTGACTGTTGCCCTTCGGGATCGGTTAGTGGCCAGGCTTTCCAATACTCCCCAATAAATGCAAATACAAAAGCTAGTAGCTGCACCACAAGCACACATTTTCTTACACACGCGCGCGCGCACAAACACACACACACCGACATACACTTACACATACATACCTTTCACCCTCCATTGTGTGAGGCCCAGTAGGGGTGATAGCCGCTGAACTGTGCATGCACCCGCGAATCCTAGCTCTGATCTGGGTTCTCCTAGCAGCCTAGCAGGAGATCTGATCAGCAACTGTGATTCAGCATGGCTGCGACTGAAGCCTCCTCCCTCTCGATCCTCTTTCCTCTGACTTACTCCCGGCAGCTTCTACCGCAGAAGCAGCAGCAGTAGAAAATGTCTTACCCAGAGCTCCCTGCAGCCCTTTCAGCTGCTAAAAGCAGCAATCCACTTGCTCCCCCTCCCCCGCAGGCTCCTGCTCCTCCGTCTCCTAGGAACAGCGGCAGCTTCAGTGCCCCAAGTATGGTGCCACCTTTCCAGCTGCCTATGCATCTGCCCAGACATTCCAAGCCAGGGCAACTAGCCCACCCCAGGGGCTCCTGCCTCCTATGCCTAGACTGCAAAGAATCAGGCCAGTTCCTCATCAGCCTGAGAAATACTTGCCCCCTCCCCCACCCCTCCCTACAGGCTGAGTCTGTCATCCTGGCCAGATTGCTGGAATAAGGAGGCCCCTCTGTGGCCTGCAGTGGAGTTTATCCACCAGGGAAAATTCATTTGTGGGTCACAACTCATATTTCAGTTTCTCCTCCCAAAATCTATAGTTGCTCTAAGAGTCTGAAAGTCGGAAAGAAGTTAGGGGGAAAGAGCCTAAAAGAACAGAGAAGAACAGAAAGAAATTAAAAAGAATATAAAAAAGTAGGAAATTAGAAAAATAGGTGAAATTGTTACAAATCCTATTTTACCTTACCTATTTTACCTATTTTACCAGTACAGGCCAAAGATGATTGCAGCAAAGCCATCACAATGAATACTGCATATACTTATGCCATACTGAAAGATCACCAATCTCATAGCACAACCCTAAAACATCTTCCTAAATTCTGTTTTAAAGCTGGGGCTCTAACTAGTAAGTCTCTCTGAATCCTCACCTTCTGCTAAATCTCTCCTATCCTATAATTTCCAGCTGCTAAGAATACCTTCTCCAATCTCAATCCTGGAATCTTTCTAGAAGGGCAGTCAAATACCAGGTTTCATAAAATTTCCCCTACTCACACCTACAACTAGTCACCTCCAACCAAGTATAGTCACTACAAAATGTCTTGTTCTAACTGTTCATCTCACACCTAATAGACTTGTCTTGGGTAATTCGTTGCTAATGTCTTCCAAACTAAAGTATAATTTTGTGAAAGGCAGGGAGCCAGTTTGTGTTTCTAGTCAGAGCCTAAGAGGCATAAAGGTAATGGGACAATTAATTACAAAAGAAGAAGCTTGATGTCTCAGAATAATTAGATATGAGCATCTCTATTCTAAGACATCTCAATGCTGTACAGGGTGTGGCTTTTCAGGATCCACCCTAGCTGATGCTGGTTGAGCAGCCTTTACTTAGCTAGTTTCCTCCCCACCCTGGCCCCTGTGCTCTGTTTCCGATTCACAGGATGAGTTCAGACCAGATAATCTCTAGGGTCCCTTTCTGCTCTAAAATCTCAGCCTTCTGGGAGGTGTAGGCAGTTGGATCACAAATTCTAACACAGGCAACTTAGCAACTCAGTAAGACCCTGTCTCAAAAGTAAAAATTAATTAATTAATTAATTAATTTTAAAAGGATTCAGGAACTGGGGATATAGCTCAGGGCAAATGTCCTTGTTTCAATCCGCAGTACCACAATTTAAAAAACACATACACTTAATTCTAAAAAGGTTCTAAATATCCCATTTTTTTCCTCAGCATAACCTGTGTGAGTTTTAAAGAAGTATTTGCCTGATTCTAATGTTTTGTGGGGAGCCTGAGAAAGGATAAAATGATGTTTGTGAAAGTAGGAGAGCCACTATTATTGTTATTATAATTTTGACCCATTAAATTTCTTCACTGTTACAAAGCACTGAAAACATATAGTGGAGGGAAGAGCACTGAGGTAACAGAAATGAAAAGTAAATCTTTATGAATTTTACACAACCTCCTGAATTCAAACTGGCTAGGGTGTTTTTCTCAAATATTCCCTTCCCTGACACCTGACTTCACTCTCTCTCAAATGAGAAGAGGCCTGGGTAATTTTATTTACACCTCACAGCCCTGTATCTTCACTTTTTCCAGCCACAACAATGGTCTTCACAGTTTTCTCCCCTCTCTGTCCCTTCTTCCTCTAATCAGTTTTGTGGCTCTGTTCCAGATATTTCCTCTGAGGTCAATCAAAGGGACCAGAGACGATGAACATCACAAATAAGGAAACTGAATCCCAGAATCTGTGCCAGCGTGCAGTTATCCACCAGGAAGACAATTGGGTGATTCATAAGAGGGACATAAGCATGAGATGACCCATCCATTGTATACACCTTCATTCATGTCTTTACCATACAGGAAAGGGGGAAATGCCATATCTCACCAGAAAAAGAAAGAAGTTCAAAAGAGGAAATACTTAAGATTGAGCATATTAAAATTTCAAAATACAATTATTGGAGCCAACATTAAAAAATTCTACAGAATTTCCTTTCCAACCTTCTTTTTTCATACTAAACTGATGTCACTACAATGGTCAAAATTTTATCGCTACCACCTGCCACCCTATTTACCACTACCCATGAGAGAGAACAGAAAACACTCATAAAAACCCATGGGGAGGGGCATCTAGCAGGGAAAAAAAACCCAGAGGCAGAGCTGAGCAAGAGTTAAAAATCTCTGGCCTCCTGGCTCACATCTTCTTTGGTTTTGGAGCTATATTTTACATTTTCTATCTTATCCAAATGTTCTCTGGGCCAGAGCCTGAACCCATTTGCTATAGGCTAATTTTTCTAACTGGATTTGAGATTAAACAGAGTTGCTGTTAGACATTTCTCAGACAAAAAAGTAAAAGCAACAAATAAATATATAAAAAAATGTTCAGCATCACTGGTCATTCAAGAGATGCAGATGAAAACAACACTGAGATTCCACCTCAACCCATAAAGAATGGCTGCTATCAAGAAATCAACCGATAACAAATGGTGGCAGGGCTGTGGGGAGAAAGGAACCCTTCTCCATTGTTGGTGGGAGTGCAGACTGGTACAGTCTGTGGAAATCAGTATGGAGATACTTCAGACAACTAGAATTAGAGGTCCCATTGGACCCAGCTATTCCCCTGCTGGGTATCTTCCCCAAAGAATTAAAAGAATCATACCACAGCAATATATGCACACCCATGTTTATAGCAGCACAGTTTGTAATAGCTAAAGCTTGGAAACAGCCCAGTTGATCATCAACTGGAAACTGGATAAAGAAGATGTGGGGTTTTTTTATAAAATGGAGTACTACTCAGCCAGAAAGAATGAGAAACTAGAGACATATATAGCTAAATGGATGCATATTGAGGCCATCCTCTTAAGTGAAATAAATAGGACACACATGTGTAAATACCGAATAGTTTCTCTGGTGTGAAAAACTAAAAGTGTAAATAAGGATAAAAATGTATAATAGATAATGTGGAATAAGAAAAGGTCTAAAGGAGTAGGGGAAGTGGGAGGGGTAGGGGAAAAGAAAAAATACAAGAAAAGCAAAAAATGGAAACAAAGTCTTTGTAAATAGGGAAGGGTGGAGGGGGTGAAGGAAAGGGAAGGGAATAGGGAAAAAATAAGAACCAAGGTACGTCATGTAAAGGTACAAGATCCCAATGATGAATGTAACTGTATTGTATACCTAAAATGTACCAATAAACTTAAGGAAAAAAAAAGAAACCTCAGTTTAAAATAAATGGCAAAAGAAAAAAAAGAAGAAAAAAAAGAAAAAGAGAGAAAGGGTTGCTATTAGATTCCTGAAGAAGAATGAAAGAAAGCAAAGTGGGATCTGCCTGGAGGAAAAGTCCCCAGCTTTGGACTGCCCAGCAGCAGTACCTAGCTTACTTCCCATCCCTCACACTGCCTCTGAGGATTACCAGTCCATCTAGTGACTCCAGCTCTCCATTCCAAAGCAATTTATCCAGCCATCTACACCAATTTTGTTCAGAATCCTTCAACTCTTACGCTGTTTGGGAAGAAACCATGTTGGAGGAGAAACTTTTTTTTTTTTTAAGTAGGGCTTGGTCTACAAAGTTCTCTCTTTCATATTCCATTTCAGCACAGAAATCTAGCAAAACATAGTTTATCTGAAGATGAATAAGTCAATCATTCTTCCTTTTAAGAGTGCATATGCTTCTTTTCTGGCCTTTACCTCACTCTCCAGGACTTCAGCTCTTCGTGTTTGCAATCACCATAACACAGTACAGTAGTCCTATATCTACCTGTGCATTAGAACCATCTGCCCAGCTGGTTGAAAATCAGGGAATTGAAAGGCACAAGGAAACTTTTCAGGGTTGTGGAAATGTTCTATATCTTGACTATGACAGTACTTACATGACTGTATACAACTACTATATTTTTCAAACTATACACTTAAAACATAAATTTTATGTAAATTGTGCCTCAATAAATCTAGGAAACCCAAAAAAACACTTCAGGATCAGGGTCTACCTCACACCACCTATAGAAATTCAGGAATTTTAATGCACCTCATAGGTGACTGTAATACACAACTGAATCCAAAGACCGCTTAGAACCATGAAAAGAGCACAGACCTTTAGAATCAGACAGAGCTGGGTCCAAACATACCAGAAACATGACCCTAGGCAAGTTACTTTACAAGCCTTAATTTTCTCTCCTGTAATTAAATACAAAAAAAGGTAATTACCTCCTAGAGTTGTTAGGTTTGAATGTGAAAGTATGTAAAGCACTTAGCAGAAAACTAGGCCTGTAACAGGCACTAAGGAACCATTAGCAGCTACTCTTTTCACTGTCTCTGTGAAGGCTACCCAACTGCATACCTTAAAACTCTATGGACCATGCCGGGCTTGGAATCAAGAAAAAGTGTGCCAGGGTAGGACCTTTCCTGGAACTACGGTCACACCTCCACTGGTCACTATTACGAGTACATCAGCAAGGACTAGGCAAGAAGAGAGCTAAACAAAGGCCCACCCACACCTTTACCATCAAAACCTCCCCTCAGGTTCTGAACCACTCACTCATTCTTCTTTTAAGAGTGCTTAGAGGCTTCTCAAGCCTGCTTAGAGCAGCCTGAGAAAGCCAGGCAGAAAATGAAAATGTTAATTTCTTAATGATAGCCATTCTTTCTGGAGTGAGATGGAATTTCAGTGTTGTTTTAATATACATTTTTCTAATGGCCAGCCATGTTGAAAATTCTTTCACGTATTAGCCGTTTGTACATCATCTCAGAAGTGTCTTTTCATTTCAGACACCCATATTTGGATTGGGTCTTTAAATTTGGGAGGGTCTAATTTTTTTCAAGTTCTTTATATATTCCAGATAATAGTCCTCTCCCTGAGAACTAGCTGGTAAAATTTTTTCCCATTCTGTAGGTTGTCTCTTCACTCTCTTGGTGTCCTTCTTTGCTGTGCAGTATTTTTGTTTGTTTTTGAGACAGAGTCT